AACTCAATGATATTTGAGCAATTAGCAATTATAATTCGAAAGTGATATTTGAACTAACTATTACTCTTGCAATTGATTAAAGACCGAAGTTAGATTTAAATTTTTAATAATCGCAAAAGAAAGTGTTGACAAAAACGATAAAAAATTTCAATTTTATTCAACATTAATCAAACAGCACAATTTATGATATCGCTATGAATGTACCAAATGTATTAAATTTATGAATCGACAAAAACGTCGGTAACCTTGTAACAACGTTCCCAAGCGATTGTAAACGGTAAAGATTTATTTATTCTGCAACACAAAAAAATACTCTGATAAAGCACTCACAGGAAATTATGAAAAGTAAGTAAGCTTACATTTGCCATCTCGTTGTGTCATTGACAAACCCGTTGTCCACCAAATGCTTTAAGGCCACTTTGCCTTCCTCGGTAGTGATACCATACGATCTCATAATATCAGCATCCGATTTTTTTTTACCAATCTTAAAGTTTAATTTTTTATTGTTTATCTTTCCTGACTCTATTCAAAAGAATTATCGTGACAATTTATAAAAATTACCCGAGATTTTGACAGCAGCGGGCCTGATAACACTAATGTGACGAGCATCGGAAGCACAAATAAGAATGTGAAAGATGAAATTAGGAAGCTTTTCATTGTTGCGAACTTTTCTGAAAATTATAGATGAATCAAAAATGAGACTGCATTTTTAAATGTAAATCTATTTTAAATGTTTATAGTTTGGTAAATTTTAAAATGGTAATCTTTCAAACTTAGTTGAAGAATATTGATATTTCAGATTTTCAAAAATCTTTTAGATTACAGAAATAAAAATGAAAACCAAATGGATTTCTGGAATGGACGATAAATATTCTATGCATTTCAGGCTAATTTCCTTTCCCTTATAAAGTGAACATCTTTACTCTATGCAAATGTGCCTCATCAATTCCAAATGGATAATTTCTGGTCGATTAATTCTGTTACAATTCCGCCCACATCCAGACTGTCTGATATATTTTTAAAAATTTTGCTCAGTACCTTTGACTCCGAAAATAATTGCATAATTTTGCCAAAGCAAAATTGAGCAATTAAGTTTATCGATTGAAGTTTCATTATTACTAATTAGAGCAATATAGCTTCAGGGAAAATTTTTTAATTAATTTAAGTTTATCTCAAAAATTTGTCGAGAAAATTTGTCATTTCATTTTCTCAAAAAACCAAATGTGACATGCTGGCGTTTTGGATTTTACACAAAGGAAACATAGGATAGTGTTCTAATGGAATAATGTACATAACCAGATAAAGTTGAGCAGTGAATATTGGTGGAGGTTAGAGATAAACCCGAAATTTAAAATCTCGGACTGATTGTTTGCTTCACCATTTCAACTGTTTTTTACTGAGATAATTTCAGTTTATATTTCCAACATTTTTTTCTTTTTAATCTTTCATTTTCCCTATCTGTGGATCATTTCTTCAAATTCGGCAGTTTGGAATAAAATTTTCCAAATAATAGAAAATAAATGAATCTCTGAATGAAAATTTGTATTTAAGTCATTTTCCT